GCTCAGTGGTAGAGCGCTTGCCTTGCATGCCTGAGGCCCTGGGTTTGATTCCTCAGCACCACATAAAGCAAAATGAAAAAAGCTGGAAGTGGCGCTGTGGCTCAAGTGGTAGAGCGCTAGCCTTGAGCTGAAGAACTGAGGGACAGCGCCCAGGCCCAGAGTTCAGGCCCCACGACTGGACCAAAAAAAAAGAATAACTAGCTTTCATTGTCTTGGGAGCAAAGACTGCAACCCAGGCATAATTCACACGTGTATTTTACTTTGTCTTGGTCCAGCTCTTAGCCATTCCACACTGTCTGAATAGATGGCCTTCCAGCCTCTTAACTCTTTCCAGAGCTGTCTTTTCACCTTTCCAGGGCCAGTTCTCAGCATTTTAAGTACTAATGAGGCAGCCTTCCAACCTCTGAACCCTTTCCGGGTCTGACAGCTCTGCTTCAGTGTTCCCTACAGTGTGAGGTTCCACTTCAGGACTCTACCTTTGTTCTTCTGAGTAAACATCCTAGGGATGTGAGTTAAGTGGTAGAGGCTGTGAGTTCAATCCCCAAACCATAATAAGCACCTTCAACTCCACAGCCCAAATAGGCTCAGCAAATGGTGCTAAGAGGGGCTCTTCACAGCCTCTTCTCCAGATCAGAGTAGAAGCCATGAGGCCAAGTGCCTGGAAAATGATGGGAGCATCAATATCCTATGCCTTCTCATGCATCTGTCAAGGTGCTATGATGGCCCAAAGACATTTCAACACCCTGATAGTGTGTATAAGTTTCTTTGTGATGGTACTTGAACTTGCCCTGTGATATGTTAGCCGAGAAGTAACTCCACATTATTTCAAGAATGAAAAGAAGCTGGCACCTGTGGCTCATGCCTGTAATCCTAGATACTCAGAAGCCTGAGATCAGTATAGCAGTTCAAAGCCAGCCCGGGCAGGAAAGTCCATGAAACTCTTATCTCCAATAAACCACTCTAAAACCAGAAATGGCACTGTGGCTCAAGCGGTAGAGCCCTCGCCTTGAGCCAAAAAGCTGAGGGACAGCGCCCAAGCCCAGAGTTAAAGCCCCACCACTGACCAAAAAAAAAAAAAAAGAATCATTTTTCTGAAGATCAAAGATGAAGTTCACAGACAGGTTTCAGCCATATTTGACTCTTGCCCAGACTGTCTGGGATTACTGTGCCTCCACTCCTGGTTTGTTCTATAAGCTGGTTTCACTGGATTTTTGCCTTGGCTGGACCCTGCTATCTGCTTTCCAAATAAGTAGTACAGTCAGGACCCATATGTTGCCCTTGAGGGAATTTCTGAGCAGGGAGCCTCTTCACACTCAGCATTCAAGTCTAGCTCACCACTAAAGGTCCAGCATCTTCTGCAGCACAGTAATGAGATCAACAGATGCTGCCAGATACCACAGAAGTGCATGTGTTGCTTCATTCATAACTCCAGACAAACTCAAGTTAAGCATTTTCTTCCTGGTATATTGCTAAGAAGCAAAGGACTTCTGTGAACTCACCATACAATAAAGCTCAGACATTAGTCAGTGCCTAAGGAAACACAACTGCTGGGGATTCTGTTGAGTCAATCCTGGGCTAACATTAATTTGTTTGGTGTGTATGGTACATGCCTGTAAGCTCTGGGGCTTGAGATTCAAAGTCAGCCTGGACAAGCAATTCCCAGAGTCTATTCCCAGTTAACCAACGAAAAGCCAGGAGTGCCAGCCTTGAGCAAAAAAGCTAAGTCAGTGCACAAGGCCCTGAGTTCAAACTCCAGTGCTCACACACACACACACAAAAACACATAGTACTTGGTGGATAGTTCCATGGTATAGCACTTGCCTAACATATTCAAAGCACAGTGGGGGAAAGATAAAAATAAGAACTAATAAGTAGGTATTAACTTTGAGATGCTCTTAGGAGTTAAAAAACTAGAACATAAACTGAGATGTTGATCGATAAACTACCCCAAACTCAAGTTAGGATTCCATATTAGTTTCCTGAAACAAGGATAATAAACACCACTCTCCTGGCAATTAAAACAATAGAATCTTATTCTCTCAATGGTCTAGGTACCAGACATACAGAATCATTATCCAGGATGAAGTTAATTTGTCAATGGATCTCCACACTTTTCGATGTCTCAGTGGAAGATCTGTTAATTTCCAGTCTTCTGGCCAGTGCATCATTGGCTTGTAAACCTACTGCTCAAATCTTGCTTGCCCCCGTCAGGCCTGCTCCTCGGTGGGTTAAATTTCCCCCTTCCCCTTCAGCCTCTTCATTTTGCCCAACATATAGTGCAAGATGAATATCTCAACATCCTTAATTTAATCCTATCTGCAAGAGGAGAATATTGGTTTTTTGTTTGTTTAGTTTTTTTGGTTGTGGGCCTGAACTCTGGGCCTGGGTGCTGTCCCTCAGTTCTTCAGCTCAAGGCTAGCGCTCTACCACTTGAGCCACAGCGCCACTTCCGGCTTTTTTTCTGCTTATGTGGTGCTGAGGAATCGAACCCAGGGGCTCATACATGCAAGGCAAGCACTGTACCACTGAGCCACTTTCCCAGCCCTGAGAATATTGTTGAGTATAAGGATTGCAGTAGGGGCTGGGAAGGAGGCTCAGTGGTAGAGCGCTTGCCTTGCATGCCTGAGGCCCTGGGTTCGATTCCTCAGCACCACATAAGCAGAAAAAGCCGGAAGTGGCACTATGGCTCAAGTGGTAGAGTGCTAGCCTTGAGCTGAAGAGCCAAGGGACAGCACCCAGGCCCAGAGTTCAGGCCCCCACAACCGGCAAAAAAAAAAAAAAAAAAAAAAGGATTGCAGTAATCTCATTAATTACAGGCTGAATCTAAATGAACATGAGATGTATTTTGGAGGGCGTTCAAATGGTTGTAGAGAATATAGGGAAACCTGTTCTGAAATGTGTGTCTTGTACAGATGGAGGTCACTGTGGCAAGGCCTCACTCAGTTGTGAGGACAGCTATGGGAAGTCTTTCAGGTGGAAAGCTAACCTTATTGTACATCAGGATTCACACTGGAGAAAAATCCTATGAATGGGTACTTACACTCCCATGGAAAGTCCTCTGCCCAAGTTCTGACTCTTCTCATACGTAAAAGGACACATGCTCAAGAGAAGTCCTGTTGAGTGTAACCAGTGTGGAAAATCCTTCGTTCAGTGCACTCAACGCAGTAGGCATCTGAGAATTCCATGGGGGAGAGGCCACTACGAGTGCACTCATGGCAGTCAGTCCTTCACAGACAGTCTGAAACATCAGAGAACTCATACTGGACAGCTTTCACTGGGAGGTCCCATGCCCCCTCCCAACAGAGAATTCCTTCTCCACATAAACATAATGACTGTGGGAATACTTTTGGCAGTGATCTCAGCTCAGAGTGCAGCAGCAGACACAAGCCGAAGAGAAACCATATGGGTAAAGTCATTGTGGAAAGGCTTTCAGCCAGAAGATTCCCCTCATTGTGCATTGTCCATCAGATGTCCAGATAACACATTCTGAAAATGAGCAGGAAGATACTTTTGGCAGGATTGGAGTTTAAACCCAAGGCATTATGTGTGCTAGGCAGGTACTCTTCCACTTGAACCATGTCTTAAGAGTTTTGTGCTATACTTACATTTTGCAAAGAGTCTTTTGTTGATGCCCACAGATGGCCTCAAATTGTGATCCTCCTACCTGTAGACCACAGATTGTACCACCCACGCTTGATTTGCTGCATGATATGGGGTCTTGCTAACTTTTTTTGCCCAGGTTGTCCTTGAGACTTCTCCCAATCTCCATCTCCTGAGTTGCTGAGAATACGTGTGTACACCACTAGGCCAAGCTGGAAGATATTTTTTATGAGTTTTAAATGCTTAAGAAGATCTTGCACAAAAAAAGTTGGTGCTGAGTGACAAAATACAAAGGCAGACGTTTTCAAATGTAATGTAAATCAGCAATTAAAACCACAAATTGAGGGGCTGGGAAGGTGGCTCAGTGGTAGAGCACTTGCCTTGCATGTATGAGGCCCTGGGTTTGATTCCCCAGCACCACATAAGCAAAAAAAGAAAAAAGCCAGAAATTGCCATGCTGACCCCAGTAGAGTCTGCTTAGCATGGGAAACCATCTATCAGACCATGATAGGAGCTTCAGAGACCTATCTCTGAGTTTTGGGACTTACCGAAGTCTACCTCAGAGAATGGGGCTTTACAGAAACCTATCTCCAAGTTTTGGGACTTCACCAAAGTCTACCTCGGAGAATAGGGCTTCTAAGAGGCCTACTCCTGGGAAAAGGCTGGCAAAACCCCTGGAAAAGATGTGTTTCTGCCTTTCTTTCCCTCATAAGAGTGCCTATTAATCTTTTACTGCTTCTACTGCTCTTTGTACTTACTCATTGTCAACGTTTCTTAAGAGTGTTGATGACTCCAATATCTGATGAGTGTCTTATAAATATGACTGACTCACCAGAGTTAAGTGCTACCCTGAAACCCCTCTTATGGAGTTTAGTAGACAAGTTATAAGTAAATATGAAAGTATTAGGGGTTTCACGAAGTCACTTCAGCAGAAGGAATTGTTTGTAAGGGACTTATTAGAAGCTGTAGGCTCAGTTAGAACAGAAAGAATGTATGGCAATTGCTGAGGCAATTATTTAGGAGAAAGAATTTCCTGCTATTTACTAAGAGAATTGCTAGACCTAGGTAATTGCTAGATCCAGGTCTCCATGAGGTTTACTATTAAAGAAAAAACAAGAAAGATCGTATGGAAAAGTTAAGGCCTCTATAAAGATAGGTAATGGTTAATTGGTGACAAACATCAAAACCCGAACCCATTGTATTCCTTAGAGATAAGCCGAAGACAAATGACCAGCTGCTGACCACCCAAGAATGAAGCCATGCAGCAAGATTGTGTAAACTTTTGCCCTCTCTCATGGTGACTTCTGTTATAAAAGTTTGCTATCCCCTGCATTAAACAGCATTCAGCATCCACTCCTCTTGTGTGTGAGTTGTCTGTTTGCCATCTCCCCCCCTATTCCAGGTTCCTCCCCTAGGTGTCCTCCATTGTCCCGACAGAACCTGGTCCGCGGTAAGAAATGGCGCTGTGGCTTAAGTGGTAGAGCTGAAGAGCTGAGGGACAGTGCCCAGGCCCAGAGTTCAGGCCCCACGACTGGACCAAAACACACACACACACACACAAATTGATCTGGGCATCAGTGGCTCACGCCTGTAATCTTAGCTACTTAGGAGGCTGAGATCTGAGGATCACAGTTTGATACCAGCCTGGGCAGGAAAGTCTTGAGCCACAGTGCCACTTCCAGGGTTTCATGTGAGCCATCTACCACTAAGTCATATCTCTATCTTTTTTTTTTTCTTTTTTTCTTGCCAGTCCTGGGGCTTGAACTGAGGGCCTGGGCAATGTCCCTGAGCTCCTTTTACTCAAGGCTAGCACTCTACCACTTGAGCCACAGTACCACTTCTGGCTTTTTTTGGGGGGGAGGGGAGGGTCCGGTTGTGGGGCCTGAACTCTGAGCCTGGGTGCTGTCCCTCAGCTCTTCAGCTCAAGGCTAGTACTCTACCGCTTGAGCCATAGCGCCACTTCCGGCTTTTTTTTTTTTTGCTTATGTGGTGCTGAGGAATCAAACCCAGGGCCCCATGCATGAAAGGCAAGCACTCTACCACTGAGCCACCTTCCCAGCCTATTTCTGGCGTGCGCGCGCGCACGCGTGTGTGTGTATGTGGTATGATGCTGAGGAATCGAACCCAGGGCTTCATGCATGCAAGGCAAGCCACCTTCCCAACCATCCCTGCCCATCTTATCTCGAATTAAATAACAAAAAAAGCTGGAAGTGGCACTGTGACTCAAGTGGTAGAACGCTATCCTTGAGTAAAAGAAGCTCAGGACAGCACCCAGGCCCTGAGTTCAAGCCCCAGGACTGGAAAACACACATACAAACACACACACACACAAATTGGGGAGTAATTCAGGGTAGGAAATCTTCCGGAATTATCATTTTCTTTTTTTAATTATCTTTAAGAAGTTGTACAAAAGGGCTTCAATTCAACTTAACAGTTTATGAGTCTAACTCATCTTGACCAATATAATTTCTTCCATGTTCTCCCTGACTCTTCCCACATTATTACTACTACTGCCATTATTATTGTGGTTGCTGCTGCTGCTGCTGCTAGGGATTGAACCCAGGGTCTTGGATATGCCAAGCAAGCATTAATTACTTGAGTCACATCTCCAGCCCCAAATCTGTGTGTGTGTGAGAGAGAGAGGGAGGGAGAGAGAGAGAGAGAGAGAGAGAAAAGAGGCTCAGGACAACACCCAGACCCTGAGTTCAAGCCCCACAACCAACAAAAAATAGAAGACAGGATTTCAGTGAGCAGGTGGCTCATCCCTGTAATCCTAGCTATTGTGGTTTGAAGCCAGCCCAGGCAGGAAAGTCTGTGAGACTCTTATCTCCAATTAACCACCAGAAAATTGGAAGAGGTGCTGTGCCTCAAGGTGGTAGAGCACTAGCCTTGAGCATGAAAGCTCAGGGACAGCTCCCAGTTCCTGAGTTCAAGCCCCAGAACTGGCACCAAAAACAATCTTTTAATAGACTTGGTAGTGATTATAATAGTATAATTTTGAACTTTAGTTTGGTTATAATATTATTCCTCCAGCATCTTCTAGAAAACTATACTGCATCTTGAGAAAAATGAGAGTAGACCAATTTTTCCTGAAAACAAGAGATTCTAGTCTTCTGAATCATCACATTAAGGATATCCCCTCTACCTAAAACCACAGCCTCCCTTAATTTCCACCCATGCCTAAAAACCTGCTCCTCCTCCTCGTACAACCGCAGTGCCCAACCGGGGCCCTGCAGAAGGAGAGTTGTGGAGTAAGGTGCCCAGCAGGGAGCGAGGATGCTGGGAGTTTAACAGGGGCGGACACCTCAGTATGTTCCCAACTGTACTTCCAGTGCAGTAACTCATCACTTTACTAACGCGCTTTCCGATATGCAAGGTTTAAATACGTTCTCCCCCTTTTTTCTTTCTCTCAGGAATTCAAGAAGGTCACCACACCCCTTGCCTTATCTTGCTGACCATAGGAATGATGGACCATCTGAACAGAAAGACATACAACTCTGTAGACGGCCCGGACATCAGGAAAGAGCAGTCCCCAGTCCTGCCTCGGCACATGATAGGGAAGCTGCTGGGCTTTTACTTAAAAATCTGCCCCCCCCCTCAACACCCCCCCGCAAACACACAGGAGGACCGTACTCCTTCCCATGAGTTAACCATGCTGGCCCTCGTTTTCCTGGCCAAACCCCTGTGACAATTATTTGTGAACTGCTGAGTTGGGGGGAATCAAATCTTCGACATCACCAAGTTTCTTCTTATCCACTGTGCCTTGCCCTCGAAAGCCTCGCGTTCCCTGTTCCAGACACTCGCCCCTGAAGGCTGATCACATTCCCGGGACGCTGCAAGTTTCCAGCCCATCCGGGGCGCCCCAGGTCTCCGCTCAGTCCTTCCAGGGAGCGTGGGCTGACATTCAACAGCGGGTGCCGCCATTCCCATTACTGCTTACGTCCCTGTCCTAGGCAGAGGAGCTCAGGGGGAAAAGGTCGATCCCTGAACCCCAGCCCCTGCGAGCCCGAGTCCCCGAGGCTGCCTACTCCCAGTCTAGCCAGGTAGCGGGAGGCGGCTGGATTCGGTCTGGCTTCCTCATTGGCTGAAGGTCCAACGAGCGGTAGCTCCCATTGGCTGTGGGACAGAAAGCCTCCCATTGGTCTACAACATGGAGAGCAGAGACTCTCATTGGTTCAGTGCTGCGGCGCGGCGCGCGGCCTTCTGGGAGTTGTGGTCTTGAGGTCCCTGGCACGGCCGCCATTGTCTGGCCGGCCGCTGGTCTGGTGGTCCCCCTTGGTGGGTGAGACAGCACATTTGCTCGAGGGTCGTCGCTCTGGGTGCCTGTGCTCGACCCACCGGCCCAGGATGGACCTCGAGGACCTAGCGGCCGCGGTGACCATGGCCGCGCCTCCGCCGGCGGCACGGCTTCAGGTAACGGTCCTCCGGGCTGTGGGCTCCGGGCCTAGCGCCTCTCGTGGACACTGCATCCCCGCGGCGCGGCGTGGCGGGAGACCCGCCGTAGCGTCCGGCCCACCTGGGGAACAGGCTCGGAGCCGGAGCCCGGCCCCCGCCCCGGTGCCCCTGCCTCCTGCCCTCCCGTGGCCCAAGTCCGTGGCCCGGAAGCAGAGCGAAGCCTCCGCCCTCTCGCCCGCGGCCGTGACGGGCGCCCCCGCCAGGCGCGGAGGGGCCGGAGGCCCTCCCGTGGATGAAAACGGCAACTTCCGGCCAGCACCGGCCGCGTGAGTGTTCGATGGTCACTTGCGGGGTGTGCGGTGAGTGTGCAAGGTCCCAGGCCCTCAGCGCTGGCTCGGCTCGGCGACCTGCTCCCCACGTAGTACTCTGCAGCAGTAACCGGAACAACCCGTGCTCCTCCACCTTGAGTGCCCCGCACGTCCTGGCGTGTGCGAGCTTGGCGTGTGCATGGGTGTGTGTATGTGTGAGTGCGCGCGTGCGCACGCCCAGGGTTAGACTGTTGACAGTTACAGGTTGTGTGTGTGTCGGGGAGGGAGTGCATTTCCGATGGAGTGCCCAGGGTTAGATTATTAAGTTACAGGTTGTGTGTGTGTGTCTGTCTGTCTCTCTGTCTATATGTCGGTTGTGGGGTTGTGGGGCCTGACGGGGTCTGGATGCTGCTCCTCAGCTCTTCAGCTCAAGGACAGTTACAGGTTGTGTGTGTGTGTGTGTGTGTGTGTGTGTGTGTGTGTGTGATAGAGAGAGAGAGAGAGAGAGAGAGATGAGGCCTGAACAAGGACAGTTACAGGTTCTGTGTGCCTGTCTGTGTCTGTGTGTCTATGTGTATATGTGTCGGTTGTGGGGCCTGAGTGGGTCTGGGTGCTGCTCCTCAGCTCTTCAGCTCAAGGACAGTTACAGGGTGTGTGTGTATGTTTGTGTGTGTGTGAGAGAGAGGAAGAGAGAGAGATAGGGCCTGAACTCTGTCCCTCAGCTCTTCAGCTCAAGGACAGTTACAGGTTCTTTTTTTTTTTTTGGTCGGTCGTGGGGCTTGAACCCCTCAGCTCTTCAGCTCAAGGCAAGCATTCTACCACTTGAGCTACAGCGCCACTTCTGGTTTTCTGGTGGTTTATTGGAGATAGGAGTCTCATGGTCTCTCCTGCCCGGGCTGACTTTGAACTGCGATCCTCAGATCTCATCCTCCTGAGTAGCTAGGATTACAGGCGTCAGCCACCAGCGCCCTGCTAGTTACAGGTTCTTAAATGTTTGTTATCCCAGGTTTGCATGACATATGGCCACACCATATTCTTGGTAGGCAGAGAGCAGTAAGGAAGGCTGAAAAGTGTGTGATCTGATCCTGTATAATAAATAACCCCCAAATTTAGTGATGTGACGCAATACCTCAGTTTCAGATGTGTAGCAGCAGTTCACCAATCCCAGAATGACTTAGCTAATGGATCTGACTCAGGTTCATAAGGTTAGAATCAAGATGTCAGCCTCGCCATTGTCTCCTGAGACAACTGGGGCTGTTGGGGCCACCTTCAAGATGGCACTCATGGTGACTATCAGCCAAGCCTTCTGTTCTTCTCCATGTAGACCCTTCTGGGTTTCCTCACAAAACGCTGCCTGGTTCCCACTGCATGAGTTGTCTGTGGAGAGCACTGCCACCTCAGCTCAGAATGCACAGTTCCATAGACTCCTGTCACTCGGCCCTGCTGAGTGAAAGAGTTCACAGTTGGTTCCATAGACTCCCTATCACTCAGGAGTGCAGGAGTTTACAGTTATTTCCATCGATTCCTGTCACTGGGCCTTGCTTAGTGCAGGAGTTCACAGTTATTTCTACCATATCCTGTCAGTCCACCTTGTTGAGTGCAGGAATTCACAGTTATTTCCATAGACTCCTGTCACTTGGCCCTACTGAGTGCAGGAGTTCACAGTTATTTCCGTAGTATCCTGTCAGCCAGCCTTGCTGAGTGCAGGAGACCACATGTCATCTGGAAATGATAGGTACTCATCTTGGAGGTCGCCACCACAGGAGGAAGAGCCAAATTTGCAAGGCTTTGAGGTTAAGTACATTGGTTTCTATGGTTGCTATAACAAGTCTTTATACACTCTGTGGCTTAAGATACTACACTTTCTGGGACTGGAAATGTGGCTCAGTGGTAGAGGGCTTGCCTAGCATGCATGACGCCCTGGGGTCGAATCCTCAGTACCACATAAACAGAAAAGGCTGGAAGAGGCACTGTGGCTCACGTGGTAGAGTGTTAGCCTTGAGCAAAAGAAGCTCAGGGACAGTGCCCAGGCCTTGAGTTCAAGCCCACAACCTCCAAAAAAGAAAAAAAAAAGTCCCATAAAATCAACCTCACTGGTCTAGAATTAAGATGTGAGCAGACGCCCTCCCTACTGGTGCTCTAAGGGAGAATGTGTTTCTCCTCTTTTCTACCACAGCTCTAGGCCTGCCATTCCTTACCAGGGCTGGGGGGGACAGGAGGAGGGGCACCACTGGCTTTATCAGTCTTCAAAGCCATCAGTGTAACATCTTGGTTCAGTGGTCAAATTGCCTCTGACTTCTATATTAAGTCTCTTCTTTTGCCTGTCTTATAAAGAAATTAATGGACTAGAATTGTAGCTCAGTCGTAGATCATTTGCCTAGCATAAAAAAAGCCCTGCCTGTAATCCTAGCCACTCAGGAGGCTAAGGTCTGAGGATTATGGTTCAAAGCAAGCCTAGACAGGAAAATCCATGAAACACTTATCTCCAATTAATCACTGAAAGTGGAGCTGTGGCTCAAAGTGGTTTGGAACAAAAGAGCTCAGGGACAGCAGCCAGGCCCTGAGTTCAAGCCCCAGGGCAGAGGTAGGGATTCCCCAAATTAAGTCACATACCTGGCCCTGAAGGCAGGTGAGTTTCTAATATCCTTTTCTTAGGATATATACCCTTCTTTTTAGGTAGTATGACTTAAGGATCTGAGGGTATTAGTTGGTTCTTGCCGTGTAACAACCTATTCTAAAACTGTGTGTCTTAAAGCAGTAGCAATAGCTGGGCACCAGTGCTTTGCACCTGTAATACTAGCTACTCAGGAGACTGAGATCTGAGTATCTTACTTCAAAGCAAGCCTGGACAGGAAATTCCCAGGTACTTTCTTTTTTTGTCAGTCGGGGCTTGAACTCTGGACCTGGGTGCTGTCCCTCAGCTCTTCAGATCAAGGCCAGCGCTCTACCACTTGAAACACAGTGCCACTTCCAGTTTTCTGTTGGTTTATTGGAGGTACGAGCCTTATGGCCTTTCCTGCTGGGGCTGGCTTTGAACCACGATCCTCAGATCTTAGTCTCCTGAGTAGCTAGGATGACAGGTGTGAGCCACCCATGCCTGGCTCTCCCAGGTACTTTTATCTCGAATAAACTACCACAAATCCAGAAAGGGAGCTTTTGTGCTTTGAGCACAAAAAAATCTCAGGGAGGCTGGGAAGGTGGCTCAGTGGTAGAGTGCTTGCCTTGCATGCATGAGGCCCTGGGTTCGATTCCTCAGCACCACATAAGCAGAAAAAGCCAGAAGTGGCACTGTGTCTCAAGCAGTAGAGTGCGCGCCTTGAGCTGAAGAGCTGAGGGACAGCGCACAGGCCCAGAGTGCAGGCCCATGACTGACCAAAATAAATAATGAATGAATAAATAAATAAATATCTCAGGGACAGCACCCAGGTCCTAAGTTCAAGCTGCTGCAGGACTGCCCTTCCTCCCCGCCAAAAAAAATAACCACCCATTTCTTCAGCCCAGAAATCTCTTGATTTCACCTGCTTTCTGTTTCTTAGCCTATATGGTCAGTTACAGGCCAGCTGTTACTGCCTTTTTTGTTAGTGTGGTGGTCATGGGGCTTGAATTCAAGGCCTGGGCACTGTTTGCTCAAGGCTAGTGCTCTGCCACTTTGAGCCACAGTTCCACTTAGTTTTTTTCTTTTTTTGTTTGTTTCATTTTTCTTTTGGTTAATTGGAGATAAGCGTGTCATGGACTTTAGTGCTGAGGATGGCTTTGAACCGTGATCCTCAGGTCTCAGCCTCCTTAGCTAAGGTTATAGGTGTGAGCCACTGGCACTTGACTTATTATTGGCTTTGTGTTGATTTTTTTTTTCTTTTTTTTCTTTTTTTTTTGGTCGGTCGTGGGGCTTGAACTCTAAGCTTGGGTACGGTCTCTGCGCTCTTCAGCTCAAGGCAAACGCTCTACCACTTGAGCCACAGTGCCACTTCTGGCTTTTTCTGCTTATGTGATGCTGAGGAATCGAACCCAGGGCCTCATGCATGCAAGGCAAGCACTCTACCGCTGAGCCACCTTCCCAGACCCGCACTTCCCATTTTCTAATGGTTTATTGGAGATAAAAGTCTCAGAGACTTTCCTGCCTGGGCTGGCTTTGAACTGCAATCCTCAGATCTCAGCCTCCTGAGTAGCTAGGACTACAGGCTCTAGCCATTGGTGCCCGGCGATTTTTGTTGTTGTTGTTGCTGATCGTGGGGATTGAACTCTGGGCTTGGGCGTTATCCCTAAGCTCTTCAGCTCAAGGCGAGCACTCTACCACTTGAGCCACAGCGCCACTTCCAGTTTTCTAGTTGTTTATTGGAGAGTCTCATGGATTTTCCTGCCTGGGCTGGCTTTGAACCTCAGAGATCCTCAGATCTCAGCCTGCTGAGTAGCTAGGATTACAGGCGTGATCCACCAGCACCCGGCTCTTTGTGTTGATCTTAATAGATATTTTCACTTGTAGTAGCCCAGTATATGCCCAGTGCTACCTGGATACCACATCACTCAGAATGACCCTCTCTCAGAATACTTGCCTGCCCTATTTTTCCCTTCCCCATTTTTCCACCAGAAAGCATTGATGGGACTGGTCCAACTGATTGAGAATATGATATTTCAGGAGCCAGTGACCTTCCGGGATGTAGCCGTGGACTTCACCCAGGAGGAGTGGGGACAGCTGGACCTTACCCAGAGGACACTGTATCGTGAAGTGATGCTGGAGACCTTCCGGCACCTGCTGTCTGTGGGTAAGGCCCACTTCTCAAGCCTCAGTGACTGACTCCTCCTAAGTTGTAGTTTGTAAGCCCCTGGCAGGGGACATTACCTAAGTGTCATTTCCTGTGGGGCACAGGTGCAGAAGAAGAGGGTGCAGAAGAAGAGGGTGCAGAAGAAGAGGGAGTCGGGGCTGGGAAGGTGGCTCAGTGGTAGAGCGTTTGCCTTGCATGCCTGAGGCCCTGGGTTCGATTCCTCAGCACCACATAAGCAAACAGAAAAAAGCCAGAAGTGGCGCTATGGCTTGGTAGAGCACTAGCCTTGAGCTGAAGAGCTGAGGGACAGTGTCCAGGCCCAGAGTTCAGGCCCCACGACCGGACCCAAAAAAAAAAAAGAAGAAGAAGAAGAAGAGGTGCATGAGTCTTCATGGTCAGGAGTCTGGTCTGTAACCTGAATTGGCTCATTCCCTCCAGAGTAGCTTCCAAAATCCTGTGTCTCTTCCTGTGTCCAGGTCCTGAGCTCCCCAAACCCGAAGTCATCTCTCAGCTGGAACAAGGGGCTGAGTTATGGATAGAGAGAGGAGTCACCCAGGGCTATAATCCAGGTAAAAGCTCACCAAATGGGTACCCCAAACAAGGCATCATAGGCCACTAGAGATACCACAGAAAAGACAGTGTTGGAGCACTCAAGACCACCCTCTTTTCCAGGCCCAGTCACATGCATAGGCAGGCCCTCACACACACACCCCAACCCAGGCCTTCCTACTACGTGTCAACTCTGGGCACTGACTGCACACTCTTGTGGACCCTTAAGTGACTGGACAGGGCAAGGTGCAAGCCAGGGAGGGGTCCCATGGTCTCCAGCAGTATCCACATTGGATCTCTAGTGCCAGTTCTTTTGTTTTTCTTTTTTGTTATGGGTCATGGGTCTTGAACTCTGGGCCTGGGCACTGTCCCTGCACTCTTCAGCTCAAGGCAAATGCTCTGCCACTTGATCCACAGTGCCACTTCTGGTTTTCTGAGTGGTTTATTGGAGATGAGAGTCTCACAGACTTTTCTGCCCCGACTGGCTTTGAACTGTGATCCTCAGATCTCAGCCTCCTGAGTAGCTAGGATTATAGGAGTGAGCCACCGGTGCTGGGCTTCTAGCACCAGTTTTGTGAGTTATTGGGTCATTATAAGAAGGCAATAAAAAAAAAAAAGAAAAAAAAAGAAGGCAATATTCAGGCATCGGTGGCTCATGCCTGTAAACCTAGATACTCAGGAGGCTAAGATCTGAGGATTGCAATTCAAAGCCAGCCCGGGCAGGAAAGTCAGTGAGACTCCTATCTCCAATAAACCACTCAGAAAACCAGAAGTGGTGCTGTGGCTTAGGAGGCAGAGCACTCACCTGGAGCTGAAGAGCTGAGGGACAGCGCCCAGGCCTAGAGTTCAAGCCCCACAACCACAAAAAAAGAAAGAAGAAGAAGAGGGGGGGGGGAGAGGAGGCAATAGAGGTAGAGCCAGAAAAGGTCATATGACAAAATATAAGGGCCAGTTAAAGATGCTACAGGGAGCCGGGCGCCAGTGGCTCATGCCTGTAATCCTAGCTATTCAGGATGTTGAGATCTGAGGATCTCGGTTCAAAACCAGCCCGGGCAGGAAAGACTGTGAGACTCCTATCTCCAATAAACCACTAGAAAACCGGAAGTGGCACTGTAGCTCAAGTGGTAGAGCGCTCGCCTTGAGCTGAAGCTGAGGGACAGCGCCCAGGCCCAGAGTACAAGCCCCACAACTGACAAAAAAAAAAAAAAAGTGCTACAGGGCTGTCTCTTCTCTGTTCTTCCCTTGAGCCTCCAGGAGGAGCCAGCCCACCCACGTCTGGGTTTAAAGACTTTAGTATTCCAGATAACACATGTGTTACTTAACAGAACTGTGTTTGTGCAGGTTGTGACAGCATTAGGTAGGAAGTGAGTATTTTTTTTTATTATTATTACCATCTCCTAGCCCAGGAATGAAACTGTTTTAGGGCAGGGTACTTGGTGTCATAATGAGAATCAGCACTTGTCTAGCAAGATCAACAGCAGAGATCTGAGATTTTTTTTCCCACAATTTCTCATAATTCCTGGGTTATTTTTGTTTTTGTTTTTGTTTTCAGTTTGGGCACTTGGACCCGAAGGCTACATGTTCCTCAAGTCTCAGGGCCTTCCCAAGGAGGAGCCATTCCCCTATACAGAAAGGAAAGAGCTCCTGAAGGAGACTCCACGGCCTCCCATGATGGTGGGGGCCCAGGAGTGTGAGGGCCAGCTCCAGTCTCTGAGTCAGAACCCAGCTAACCTGAGGCAACTGGAATTGGGCCTCAAAGATGGATCAGTTCAAAGTCAAGACTATGAAAGTCACAGACAGGAAAACTGTGTCTTGCATTCCAATGTAGATCCATTCCTAGAGATTTCTAGGAGAGAATATTTCTGTACTTATGACTCACAAGTTAAAAACTCAGAACACAACTCAATCTTAGTCAGTCAGCGGCCGGCAGACCTCCCAGGAACACAGCCCTGTAACAACAAAGAGTGTCACAGAGCCACTGAGCAGACTGTACCTGCTACGGAACTCATAAGGAGCCCAGTGCTGGATAAACCCTACAAATGTACTGACTGCGGGAAGTCATTTAACCACAATGCACACCTCACGGTACACAAGAGGATTCATACAGGAGAGAGACCTTACATGTGCAAAGAATGCGGGAAAGCCTTCAGTCAGAACTCTTCCCTCGTTCAACACCAGCGAATCCACACTGGAGACAAGCCCTATAAGTGTGCTGAGTGTGGAAAGTCTTTCTGCCACAGTACACATCTCACTGTCCACCGTAGAATTCACACTGGAGAAAAGCCTTATGAGTGTCAGGACTGTGGGAGGGCCTTCAATCAGAACTCGTCACTTGGCCGGCACAAAAGGACACACACTGGAGAGAAGCCGTATACCTGCAGTGTTTGTGGGAAATCCTTCTCTCGGACCACCTGTCTCTTTCTGCACCTTCGGACTCACACTGAGGAGAGGCCCTTTGAGTGTAACCATTGTGGGAAGGGCTTCAGACACAGCTCCTCTCTGGCTCAGCATCAGCGAAAGCATGCTGGGGAGAAGCCCTATGAGTGCCAACAGCGGCTGATTTTTGAGCAGACACCGGCTTTCACCAAGCACGAGTGGACAGAAACCCTTGGCTGTGCCCCACCTTTGAGTCAGGATGAAAAGACTCAGCGGAGTGACAAGCCATTTAAATGTAATCAGTGTGGGAAATGTTTCATTCAGAGCTCTCATCTCATTCGACATCAGGTAACTCACAGCAGAGATGAGCCCCATGGGCGCACAAGAAGACGTGAACGGTCCTGTGGTCAGAAGGCCCAGCTTACTCATCATCAGCAGTCCAATTCAGCAGAGGACCCTGGGGGCCAGGCAGAAGCAGGACAGCCAGCGAGCAAGACTCAGGCCTTGTTTGACATTCATGAAATCATGCAGCAGAAAAATCCTGTTCATGTTATTGGGGTAGAAGAACATCCTCTAGGGACTTCCAAGATAGTTGACTTCAAAGAATCAACGTAGGAGTTCTTCAGAAAACATTTGAACCATAGGTGCACATGTGGTAAGTCCACAGGATGTATTCGTGTGACAAGAGGGGCTGGGGCAGAAATGGCCCAGTGACCCTTGATTTTGTATGTAAGTGGTACTTCCTAGACACCTACGGTTGGTGATTCTCAAACCTATGAGACCCTCTGCCCACTTTGCAGCAGGTATCTGTGTGTGTGTGTGTGTGTTTACGTGTGTGCGTGTGCACATGCCAGTCCTAAGGCTTGAACTCAGAGCCTGGGTATGATCCCTGAGCATTTTTGCTCAAGGCCAATGCTCTACCACTTGAGCCACAACTCTACTTCCTGATTTTGGGTGCTTAACTGGAGATAAGAGTCTCATAGACTTTCTTGCCCATCCTGACTTCAAATTTCAGTCCTCAGATCTCAACTTCCCGAGTCGCTAGGATTACAAACATGAGCCACTGGTTCCTAGCTCCAACAGATCTCTTACAGTGTTTCCTCCATTACCCTGAAGTGAGCTCACCAAGGCAGAACATTCACACAGGTGTATCTAGACAAGTCAGTGTATGGAAAGGAAAAGAGGGTGGGGAGGGCTGGCTTTCACTACATGTTTTTATATTTTTGGAAATTTGAAACATGTATAATATTACAGTTCATAAAATAAATTTAACTTTAACAAAAAACTTCCAGATTGTTTTATAATTCATTTTATTTACTGTCTGCCTCCCCCTACTAGAATGTCCACAGAAACGGGGACTGCTGTGTGGCTTTGTCACATCCAGTCTGTGTATACAAGTGTTATATAACCAACTACATGTTAAACAGCTTCAACGCTTTCACCAAAAATGAAAAATGAGTCAGGCAGCCATAGCTCACACCTGAACTTCGAGCTACATAGGATGCTAAGAAATGAAGATCACAGTTTGAAGCCAGCCAGCTCAAAACAAATCTGGGAGACTTATCTCCAATTAGTCACTGAAAAAAAAATCAGAAGTGGAGCTGTATCTCAAGTGGTAGAGTTATAGCCTTGAACAAAAATGCTCAGGGGCAGCATCTAAGCCCTGTATGTCTTAATGAACACATCAATTTCCAAGTTACTTTATTAATTCTCTGTGTCAGTCAGCACAACGTATGTTGTATATTAAATCCTTCTATATAAGTGTGTCCAGCAGGTGAGCCCCTCACATACATCTTCCAGGTACTCGGTCTGCTTCTGTAGTGTGTATGAGAAGAAACATGTAGCCATTCGGAAAGCAAACTCCTATCAGTTCTCCTAAGGAGAGCCAACATAAACATCTTCCAGCATGCAGTCTCTAACTGTAGCCATCGGCTTGTATAGCTGTTTATACGTAAACTTCAGTACAAAAATGGTTCCTGGGGCTGGGAAGGTGGCTCAGTGGTAGAGCGCTTGCCTTGCATGCTTGAGGCCCTGGGTTCGATTCCTCAGCACCACATAAGCAGAAAAAAAAAGCCGGAAGTGGCGCTGTGGCTCAAGTGGTAGAGTGATAGCCTTGAGCTGAAGAGCTGAGGGACAGTGCCCAGAGTCCAGGCCCCATGACCGGACCCCCCCCAAAAAAAAGACAAAAAACAAAACTGGTTCCTCTGTCACTCCATATTTCACTAGTTGCAGTGATATCATGACAGAAAGTCCTACGGTGGGTCTGAGGTGGCTGAAAGGATGTTTATTCCTGTGATCATCTAGCTGTGGTCTGACTGGGTCACTCAGGTCCTCTGACATTTGGAGTTCACTTTGCCACTGAGTCACTTCTACCAGGCCCATGCATACAGATGACGCCTGACGCTGCCTGTGTGTGCTGAGGAGACTCCAGGTACCGGTGCGTAGAGTTACGTCACCTGTGTGCATAAGGGAGGTTCAGGTTTGTGCCTATGCATGCCAGAATTGGGGGGCTGGCACTACCTATGTGAAGGGCAGGTGTGCAAGGGTACCCTGTATCCACACAACTCCCCGTTTCCTTCCAGTCCTTAGCAATCACTAATGTTCCCTTCCCTCCTTCCTTCCTTCCTCCTCCCATCCCTAGCCTCCCCAAGCTTGGAGCCCAGAGCCTGCTCTGTGTGTGTGTGTGTGTGTGTGTGTGTGTTTAGGAAAGGAAACTCTGCTATGGAAGCTGTCATCTGATCATGCAGGTTATCAGTAACCTGGAACTTCCACCCAGGACTGAGACCACAGCTCTATTACCCTGTGCCCTGTAGCTGCTCAACCCAGCAGCCTAGAGACTAGCTAGAGAGACCCAGGATGATAGCCCAAGGCTCTGGGCGAGGTGGGTGGTACAAGAGGCCAATATAAAGCTGTAAGTTTTCAGAAGCCAAATCCCAAACACCCTGCTCCTGCCACCTATGTTCTACCTTCCTGTCCTCCCCATCCTGGCTTAGGCTACTATCCCCCCTATTTCTTCTTCCTTTTTATGTGTCCTGCCTTCTGCTGATTTTCATGTAGTATTGAGGGTGAAGTGTTGGTACAGGCACTCATGCCTGTAATGTCTATTGCTGCCTAGTCTAACAGAGCATGGGAGTCTCTAGACAGAGCTAGAGCCACAACTCCAGAACATTTCCATCCTTCCAGAAAATTCTAGAGCTCCATCTTGATAGCACCAAACTACTTCAAAGCTAAGGCAAGAGGAGCTCAAAACTACCTTGGATAATGTAGCAAAAGCCAATCTCAAAAATATAAAAAGGGAAGCCGGGTGCCGGTGGCTCACACCTGTAATCCTAGCTAATCAGGAGGCTGAGATCTGAGGATCAGGGTTCAAAGCCAGCCCCGCAGGAAAGTCCATGAGACTCCTATCTCCAATAAACCACCAGAAAACTAGAAGTGGCACTGTGGCTCAAGTGGTAGAGCTCCTGCCTTGTGCTGAAGAGCCCAGAGTTTAAGCCCCACAACAAACAAAAAAATAAAAATAAAAGCAGGGTGCCAGTGGCTCATCCCTGTAATCTTAGCTACTCAGGAGGCTGAGATCTGAGGAGCCAGCCCCTGTAGTAAAGACTGTGAGACTCCTATCTCGAATAAACCAGAAAACCAGAAGTGGCACTGTGGCTCAAGTGGTAGAGTGCTCGCCTTGAGCTGAAGAGCTGAAGGAAAGAGCCCAGGCCCAGAATTCAAGTCCCATGACCAACAAAAAATTAAAAAATAAAAAGGGGCTGGGAATGTGGCTCAGTGGTAGAGTGCTTGCATAGCATGCATGAAGCCCTGGGTTCAATTCCTCAGTACCAGGTACAAAGAAAAAGCCATAAGTGGCATTGTGGCTCAAGTGGTAGAGTGCTAGCCTTGAGCAAAAGAAGCTCAAGGACAGTGCCCACGCCCTGAGTTCAAGCCCCAGGACTGGAAAAAATAAGTAAATAAAAAAGTAAGACAGAAGAGAGGAAGCTTACGATTTTTTTTCTTTTTTTTTGGCCAGTCCTAGAGCTTGAACTCAAGACTTTGGTGCTATCACTGAGCTGCTTTTGCTCAAGGCTAGCATTCTACCACTTGAGCCACAGTGCCAATTATGGCTTTCTCTGAGTAGTTTATTGGAGATGAGAGTCTCAGAGACTTTTTTGTCCTGGCTTGTTTAGCACATATTTTTGTGGGGTTTTTTTTGTTTTGTTTTTACCAGTCCTGGGGCTTGAACTCAGGGCCTGGGCACTGTCCTTGAGCTTCTTTTCCTCAAGACTAGCACTCTTATCTCTTGAGCCACAGTGCCACTTCCAGCTTTTTCTGCTTATGTGGTACTGAGGAGTCAAACCCAGGGCTTCATGCATGCTAGGCAAGCACTCTACCACTAAGCCAACTTCCCAGGCCCTTTAGCACATTTGTTGTTGGTGGTGGTGGTCTGTGAGGCTTGAAGTCTGGGCCTGGGCGCTGTCCCTCAGCTCTTCAGCTCAAGGCCAGCGCTCTACCACTTGAGCCACAGTGCCACTTCTGGTTTTCTGGTGGTTCATTGGAGATCAGAGTCTCACAGACTTTCCTGCCCTGGTTGGCTTTGAACCATGATCCTCAGATCTCAGCCTCCTGAGTACCTTAGATTACAGACATGAGCCACCGGCGCCCAGCTTTAGCACATATTTTTAAAGATGAAAGGCAAAACTATGTTGATGGATTCTGAAATTGAGTTTTGCACATTGTTGTTTTGATTTTTTTTTTTTTTTTGGCCAGTCGTGGATGTGAACTCTGGGCCTGGGCACTGTCCCTCAGCTCTTCAGCTCAAGGCCAGTGCTCTACTGCTTGAGCCACAGCGCCACTTCCAGCTTTTTCTGTTGATGTGGTGCTGAGGAATCGAACCCAGGGCCTCATGCATGCAAGGCAAGTACTCTACCACTGAGCCACCTTTCCTAGCCTCTGTTTTGAATTTTTTCTCTTCTCTTAAAAATGAGAAATTAAGCCTAGCACTAGTGACTCATGCCTATAATACTAGCTACTCAGCCCAGAGGATCAAAGTTCAAAGCCAGTCCAGGCAGAAAAGTCAATCAGCAAATTGCTGGACTAGAAGTATGGCTCAAGTAGTGTAGTAACATTTCTAGGCCAAGGCTGCAATGGTTGCTGTCCATGGGGCTGAAATATCCTAGCTCTGATCTATCACGTGGTTAGGATTCCTTTGCTAAAACTAGCTAACTTGAAATAGTTACTGGGAGATGAGGGCACATCTCAGCGTGTGACATCAAGCTGAGCATGAGGAAACTCCTGGTGCTAGTAAATTAATTGAATTACAAATGCAGCTGGAACTCCTGCAGGCCCATACCACCTAGCTGTCTTTCTCCTTCTCTTCATCATGTTCCCCCCTTCCCCCCCATCCCTTTCTTTTCTTTTTTTTTAATTTAATTTTATTTTATTTGTGAACATACTGTACAGAGGGGTTACAATTACATGGGCAGGATAATGCGTACATTTCTTACCAAGCATTGCAGCCTCCTCCTTTGGTTTACCCTTCACATCCCTTCCCAGCCTCCCCCCTCCCCCCCAATCCCAATCCTTCTCCTTCTCCCCCTTCCCCCCCTCCCCCGCACCGACGTTGTAAAGCTCGTTTTGGACATGACAACTTGTACTTCTCATTGTTGCAACAGGTCCACCTGTATCCTTAAACAACTGGTTTTTCCCCATCTCCTCCACAAGTTATACTGACATCAAATATAGTGAAAGCAGGCATTATACTGTGGGGGAGGGACATACAAAGCAACAAAGAGATAATCTTATAAATGCGTTAGAAACACATGCATGAAAGAAAAAAACATTAAAATACATATCTAAGGGTTCATTTTCCTGACATCACATTATCTGACCTTTTCCGCTTGACTCATACATATACTAGATATTGCAAATAAGGGAAACCATGGGACCTATGTTTCTTTGGGCCTGGCTTACTTCACTTAATATAATTTTTTCCAAGTTTTTCCATTTCCTAACAAATGGGGCAATGTCATTCTTTCTGATGGAGGCATAGAATTCCATTGTATATATATATATACCACATTTTCTTGATCCATTCATCTACTGAGGGGCATCTGGGTTGGTTTCATATCTTACCTATGGTAAATAATGCTGCAATAAACATTGTTGTGCTGGTAGCTTTAGTGTGGTCTTGTTTGTAAACATTTGGGTAAATGCCCAAAAGTGGGATTTGCTGGGTCATAGGGGAGTTCTATGTGAAGTCTTTTGAGGAACCTCCATACTGCTTTCCAAAGTGGTTGAACACCAACAATGAAGTAAGGTTCCTTTCTGTCCACATCCCCTCCAGCATCTGTTGTTGTTAGAGTTCTTGATTTTTGCCGTTCTAACTGGAGTGAGGTGATATCTCAATGTTGTTTTGATTTGCATTTCTTTTATGGCTAGGGATGTTGAACATTTCTTCATGTGTCTACCTTTCTTTTCTTTTTTTGGTTAATACTGGGCCTTGTTCTCTCTCTGTTCTATTCTAGCTCACTCTGTTCTATTCTAGCTCTCTCTGTGTTCTATTCTAGCTCTCTCTGTTCGTTTCTAGCTCTCTCTCTGTTTGTTTCTAGCTCTCTCTGTTCTTTTCTTGCTCTCTCTGCTCTTTTCTAGCTCTTTTCTCTCTTTTGCCAGCCACATGGAGTGCCAACCTTGCCTGGTCCCAGCAGGTCTACTGAATAAACCTACCCCTTACCTGAAAAAAAAAAAAAAACTGGGCCTTGTTTCCAACTTTATTTCCAGTCCAAGAGCTATGTGGGTGCTGATCGTGCATTGTTGTATACTACTACTTCAGAACATCTCCATCCTTTCAGAACATTCTAGAGAAAGTGGTGCTGTGGCTCAAGTGGTAGAGCACTTACCTTGAACTGAATTGCTCAGGGACAGAGCCCAGGCCCAGAGTTCAAGCCCCATGACAAACAACAACAAAAAGGAGAACATTCTAGAGCTCCATCTCGATGGTAGTTGCAAAGGAATGTGCATTTGCTGAACTCACTGAGCTAAAGAGTCAGACTTCTCTAAAATATACCTTTTTGAAGGCACAAAAGTCCAACTCTACTAATTACTGACAACACAGTCTTTGACTTAATTTCCTCCTATTTTCTTTGTCAATCATGGGGCTCGAACCCAGGGCCTGGGCTCTGTCCCTGAGCTTTTTCTCTCAAGGCTAACACTCTACCAATTTGTCTGTTTGTTTGTTGGGTCCAGTCGTGGGGCCTGGGCGCTGTCCCTCAGCTCTTCAGCTCAAGGCTAGTGCTCTACCACTTGTGCCAAAGTGCCACTTCCGGCTTTTTTCTTTTTGCTTATGTGGTGCAGAGGAATCGGACCCAGGGCCTCAGGCATGCAAGGCAAGTGCTCTACCAATGAGCCACCTTCCCAGCCCACACTCTACCAATTTGAGCCAATTTTGGTTTTCTGTTGGTTAATTGGAGGAGTCTCACAGACTTTCCTGCCCAGGCTGGCTTCAGTTGTCAGCCTTCTAGTAGCTAGGATGACAGGTGTGAGCCACCAGCACTAGACTGACTTAATTTCTTTGTGTCTCTATTTTCCAACCTGCAAAGTAGGGTGATGATGGTACCCCGTTTTGAGTAGTTGCAGATGTCACAGGAAATGATTACTGAGTATGCTCATGCTGAGGTGTTCAGGAAAGGCAAATTGATGCTTGACCTAGGAGCCAGACCAACATCTGTCCTCAGGGTTCTACGTGTCTCAGCCTTGTTTTCAAACATTCCCCTCCCCGCTCAGGATGGCAAAGATTATCCCAATTTTTTCCTTTTTTGCCAGTCCTGGATCTTGAACTCAGGGCCTGGGCACTGTCCCTGAGTTTCTTTTGCTCAAGGCTAACCTCTACCACTTGAGCCACAGCGCCACTTCAGGCTTTTCTGCTTATGTGGTGCTGAGGAATCAAACCCAGGGCCTCAGGCAAGCTAGATGAACACTGTACCACTGAGCCACCTTCCTAGCGCCCACATATGTTTATATATAGCGTTTAAGATTCTAAAAAGTAGGAAGAAAATTTAAAGAGGACAACAGCAAAGTCAAGAGAAGCCATGAGAACCTCTGAGAAGAAGACGGGATGCAGGCATGCAGGACAGAGCAGGACGGCGAGCAGCGCCAGACGCGCTGAGAGGAAGCCCACCGCGACTACGCATTGGAGGCCTGATCGCTGCGCCCTCTGGGACTTGTAGTCCTGGGTGTGACCAATCGGGGGCTGGACTTGCGCGGGGCATGCTGGGAACGAGGTCCTGGGGCGCAGGCGAGTACGTCAGCACGGAAGCGCTACTGGAAGTGTCAGCCGCTCTGCTGGAGCTCTCTGGAGCCAAAACCCAGGCTGGAGCGAGCCGTGGTACGAGCCTGTGCGGCGGACGGAGCTTGGGGGCGGCTTGCGCCGGGGTGAGGAGCCGGGCCTGGCCCCACCGTGCGAGCCTGTGCGGTGGACGGAGCGTGCGTGGCGGTCGGCGCCGGGGTGAGGAGCCGGGCCCGACCCGACCCGGCCCGGCCGTGCGAGCCTGGGCGGCGGCCAGTAACCCCATAGCCACCTCCCGAGGTCGGCGCCGTTCCCTCTCAATTAGGTTTGGTTTCCTTTTTAAAATTCATCGTAAATAGCCGGGCGCCGGTGGCTCACGCCTGGCCTCCCAGCTACTCAAGAGGCTAAGATCCGAGGATCACGGTTGAAAGCCAGACCGGGCAGGAAGGTCCGTGAGACTCTTACTTCCAATAAACCGCCAAAACCCCAAAATAGAGCGGTGGCTCAAAGTGTTAGAGCGCCGGCCTTGAGCACAAAAGCTCAGGAACAGAGCCCTGGCCCTGAGTTCAAGTACCAGGACACACACACACTCATTATAAATAACATTTTGCCAATTTTTTAAATTATTATTCTGGAACTCTCCCCTGGCTTTGGACCCAGGAGCAGTATTGCCCCCATCTCAGGGACGCCTATAAATATATGGAGCATTTGAAAGTTAAGATGGCTAGAGAGGGTGCTTACAGCTTTTCGTAGGATCAGGAGTTCTAAAACCCTGCACCATGAGGGAAAGTCCCTCAAAGGAGTGAAATGTCTGTGAGACCCTCCAATAAACCAGGAAGTGAAACTGTGGCTCAAGTGGAAGAGCACTGGTCTTGAGCCCAAAATCTCAGGAATAGCGCCTAGACCTGAGTTCAAGTCCCAGTACCACTCCTAAAAAATGAAAGTGAGGGTATTGTCATTAGCTGCCTGGGTTGAGGACAGGAAGCGGGATCTAGCTCTGAAGAGGAGCCTTGGTTGGCCATAGGTTTGCTTGCATTGTAGCTCAGCATCCTGGCGATCAGCTCAGTTCAGGCTGGCTTTGAACTGCAGTCCTCAGATCTCAACCTCCTGAGTAGCTTGGGTTACAGGTGTGAGCCACCACTTCCTGGCTGAGTCTTTTTTTTTTTTTTGGTCAGTTGTGAGGCTTGAATTCTGGGCCTGGGCGCTGTCCCTTAGCTCTTCAGCTCAAGGCTAGCGCTCTACCACTTAGCCACAGCACCACTTCCAGTTTTCTAGTGGTTTATTGGAGAAAAGAGTCTCACAGACTTTCCTGCTCGGGCTGGCTTTGAACTGCACTCCTCAGACCTCAGCCTCCTGAATAGCTAGGATAACAGGCACAAGCCACTGGTGCCTGGCCTATCCAAATCTTTGAACAGTCTTCTGTGACTGTTTGCAAATCCCTGCAATGGGAAGGAAGTTGCCACCTGCTGAGTGTTGTAAGTTTTAAGAATCAGGCTTAGGGGCTGGGAAGGTGGCTTGGTGGTAGAGTGCTTGCCTTGCATGCATGAGGCCCTGGGTTTGATTGCTCAGCACCACATAAGCAGAAAAAGCCAGAAGTGGGGCTGATGCTCAAGTGGTAGAGTGCTAGCCTTGAGCTGAAGAGCTGAGAGACAGCGCCCAGGCCCAGAGTTCAGGCCCCACGACTGACTCCCCCCCCCCAAAAAAAAAAAGAATCAGGCTTAGCACCAAATGGACTATTCTGATTATTATCATCTGTCTCACAGACTCTAATCCTACACCTGCTTGACTTTTCCCTCTTCCAGGTGGCAATGAAATTCTGCCATTGCAGCTGACCCAGTTCTAAGGCTCCAGCCATCCCATGGTACTGTTGCCTAATGGCCACCCCAAACTGTCCCCTGAGCCCAGTGCCCTGGGAATACAACAGCTTCCTTCAGGTGAAGGTAGAGGAGGAAGAGGAAGAGGCTGATCTCTCCCAGGGCCAGGAATTCAGCCCCAGTCCTTCTGCCTACCCTGAGGCTGCACGTTTGCGCTTCCGGCACTTCCACTATGAGGAGGCATCTGGCCCCCATGCAGCGCTGATCCAGCTGAGAGAGCTGTGCCACCAGTGGCTACAGCCTGAGCTGTGCACCAAGGAGCAGATGCTGGAGCTGCTAGTGCTAGAGCAGTTCCTAGGCTCACTGCCTGCTAAGATCCAGGCATGGGTGGTGGCCCAGTGCCCTAAGAGTGGAGAGGAAGCTGCTATGCTGGTGGAGAATCTAACTAAGATGCTGCACAAGAGAGGTAAGGAAGAGTTACAACATCTTGGGGGCAGAACTCGACTGGGTAAGATGGGCACACATGCTTTGGCCTGGGGTCACGACACTCACTTTTGTACTTTAGCCATGGTTACAACTGACCAAAATATCAAGAACAGTAAAGGGCTTAGATATGACTGTTTCAGGAAGATAGATCACTTGATAACATTTCTCCCTTTCTCCCTCTCTCCTTCCTCCCCTCTCTCAGACACATAAACACACTTACGCAGATTTCTCTGTAGGTTTATTTTGTTGTCAGAAGTAGTGACACTGAGGTTTGTTTCAGGATGGGAGCTGGGAGCTGAATCTGCAGAGGCAAACTGCAAACAGAGCAACTCAGAAGAGTTGGGATCACCAGATAACACCACTGAAACACTCATGAGAGGTGTTTCTCCTGGACCTGCCTTCGTCAATGCTTGTGAACCTGAGGACAGCTTGCAGAGTGGGACAGAGCTCTTAAGGGCCATCTGGACAAAGTCTGCACCCCAAGAGCTGGCTTTTAGGAAAACCAAACCTAGTAAGGACACCCCTCCAGATCAGCCTGGCTCTGAGTGTGGAGCCCCAAGACCCAGTACCAACATGTGGCCAGCTCTCCCCTCCCAAGAGAAGACTCCCTCTGCGGAGAAACTAGGTCTGTCGGATGGGTATAGGAAAGTGCCTTCATATACATACTCGGAGAAGAAGCTCTCGAGGTGTGGGGAGTGCAGGAAAACATTCCAGAACACCCTGGCCCTCACAGCCCATCAGAAGAGCCACTCCAGGAAGACACCCTATGCCTGCAGTGAGTGTGGGAAAGCCTTCAGCCGCAGCACCCACCTTGTCCAGCACCAGGTAGTACACACAGGAGCAAAGCCTCATGTGTGCGAGGAGTGTGGAAAGGCCTTCAGCCGGGCCACCCACCTGGCACAGCATCAAAGGACTCACACTGGGGAGAAGCCCTACCAGTGTGGGGCCTGTGGAAAGAGCTTCAGCCGCAGCACCCACCTCACGCAGCACCAGCGCGTGCACACGGGGGAGCGGCCATATGAGTGCGAGGAATGTGGCAAGACCTTCAGCCAGAGCACCCACCTCACACAGCACCAGCGCGTCCACACCGGGGAGAAGCCCTACAGGTGCGATGCATGTGGGAGGGCCTTTAGTGATGGCTCAGCTCTTATCAGACACCTGCGAATCCACTCTGGAGAGAAGCCCTATCAGTGCAAGGTCTGTGCGAAGGCCTTCGCGCAGAGCTCGTCCCTCATCGAGCATCGGCGGGTCCACACGGGAGAGAAGCCCTATAAGTGCAGTGACTGTGGGAAGGCCTTCAGCCGCAGCTCTGCACTCACTGTGCACCTGAGGGTCCACATCACGGTGCTGTAGTGACCGAGTCTAAGAAACCCTGACTTCTGAAAGAGCCAGGGACAGGGCAAGAACTGAGAAGCCTCAGCAGCCTTTGGAAACACACCAACGTCACCCTGAGATGTGTGTCTGTCTGTGTTTGTCTAAAAGGAAAGAGGTCAGAGGAAAAAATATATATATTTTTTTTTATTGGTTTTGGGTTTGAACTCTGGCCCTGGGCACTGTCCCTGAGCTCTTCAACTCAAGGAGAGCACTCTACCACTTGATCCACAGCACCAATTCCAGTTTTCTGGTAGTTTATTGGAGATAAGAGTCTTATAGACTTTCCTGCCCCAGCTAGATTTGAACTGTGATCCTCAGATCTCATCCTCCTGAGTAGCTAGGATTACAGGCATGAGCCCCTGACACCAGGAAAATGAGTTTTAAGGACTTGTGTGAGTACTAGATAGTCTTCCAAGTACTTTACATACATCATCTTATAATTCTCAAAAGAGACCAACATAGTGATCTATGTGTCATGGAGGAGAGGAGAAGAGAGATGTAGCTAGTGGCCGGGGTCACATGGCAGGAACAGGAAGCACCTACATATGTCAGCATTTCAGTAAATACAGCCATGCTTCACAAACCAAGAAAAGAGACAGCCAGCATCAATAACTGGTACCTGTAATCCTAGCTACTGAGGAGCTTAAGATCACAGTTGGATGCCAACCCAGGCAGACAAATCTGAGAGATTCTTACCTCCAGTTAACCAACAAAAAACTAGAAGGGCTGTGGCTCAAGTGGTAGAGCACCATCCTTCAGCGGAAAAGCTAAAGGACAGCATCTAGGCCCAGAGTTAAAACCGCAGTACCAAAAAAAAAAAAATTGAGCCAGGCACTGGTGGCTCACTTGTAATCCTAGCTACTCAGGAGGCTGAGTTCTGAGGATCGCGGTTCAAAGCCAGCCTGGGCAGGAGAGACCGTGAGACTCCTATCTCCAATAAACCACCAGAAAACCGGAAGTGGCACTGTAGCTCAAATGGTAGAGCACTCGCCTTCAGCTGAAGAGCTGAGAGAAAGCGTCCAGGCCGAGTTCAAGCCCCACGGCCGACCAAAAAAAAAAAAGTTGAGATAAAGGACTGGGGGCATGGCTCAAGTGGTTGAGTATCTTATCTAGCAAGCATGAGGCCCTAAGTTCAAAATCACAGTATTACCCAAGTAAAAATTGAGAGACAATTATGCATGAAAGAACAAACGCCATAACAACTTCACAGACTTTTTTTTTTTAAGAAGCCAGGCATAGGTGGCTCACACTTGTAATTCTAGCTACTCAGGAGGTTGAGATCTGATGACTAAGGTTTGAAGCCAGCCTCAACAGGAAAGTCCTTAGGACCTATCTCCAATTAATCATCAAAAAAGCTAGAACAGCTCCAGTTGGCTGGATAGCTCAGGGACAGTGCCCAGGCCCTGAGTTCAAGCCCCAGGATTGGCACACAAAAAAGGGGGGAGGAGAGCTGGGAAGGTGGCTCAGTGGTAGAGTGCTTGTCTTGCATGCATGAGGCCCTGGGTTTGATTCCTCAGCACCACATAAGCAGTAAAAGCTGGAAGTGGCATTGTGGCTCAAGTGGTAGAGCACTAGCCTTGAGCCTAAGAGCTCAGGGACAGCGCTCAGGCAGAGTTCAGGCCCCACAACCGACCAAAAACAAAGGAACATTAGTAACTATTACTGAGGCAGTCAGACCCCTTTAGATGAAATAGACAAAATTTCTTGCAAGTCAGTTTATCGAATATTAAGCCATCCCCACTGGGCACTGGTGGCTCACGCCTGTCATCCTAGCTACTCAGGAGGCTTGAGATCTGAGGATCACTGTTCAAAGCCAGCCTGGGCAAGAAAGTCCGGGAAACTCTTATCTCCAATAAACCACTTAGAAAACTGGAAGTGGTGCTGTGGTTCAAGCGGTAGAGCACTAGCCTTGAGCTGAAGAGCACAGGACAGTGCCCAGGCCCAAAGCTCAAGACCCACGACTGACAAAATTTTTTTTATATAGAGCCATAACCCTAACCCCTGCGGTGTAGCATGCGCTTATTCCGCAAAGATGAGACCACGAGGGACCACGACACGCGGCGCTTCGCCCCGTCGTAGCCGCCCCTTCCCAGGCCTGGGCTGGCTGGGCACCGCAGAGACAGTCTGGGAGACCATGATGTCAACTCCGGGGAGGAGCGGCTCAGCCTCTTCCCCGGGTCGCGTCGCTGCCAGGTCAGCTTCCTAGACAAAGGTCACCTCAGTGGGGTGGAGTGCAAGGCCCGGCGTCCTCCCGCACACCACCAGGAAGAGCCTGGCCAGCTGCCCGCTGAACACCCCCCCCCCCGATTTAGGGCCGGGAACGGGCTCCGCCCGCGGGCACTCTCGGTGCCCGCACAGCTCCCCGGGCACACTGGGCGCCGATCCTGCGAAGTGCGGCTCCGCATGCGGGTGGACGCAGCGGTAGTTGCCGAAACGCACGGCATCTCGGCATCTGCCGGTCGCAGCAGGCGGCGCCCGCCCGGACCCCTGCACTGACTGTAGGCGCGGTCCTGGGCTCCACCATGAGCACCTGGGCCGGCAGCTTCTGCAGAGAAGCAGGCTTGGCCGGGAGGCAGGGCAGGCCTCCTGCGGGTCCAGCCCCTGCCAACCTCCCAAACAGCCCTGGCCGGAAAAGTCTGTGTCTCTGGTCCCCAGGACTCACTGTCCCCCTGCAGCCGGGGACACACGGTCCGAGGACCCTGGAGCCCCGCGGGGCCGGACCGCCATCCCGCCGCCGCCAGGGCTCAGGCTCACTGCAGCCCCGCACCAGCTCCTGGGGCGGGCTCGCCGACCAACGGCCAGGTGGTGTTCGGGCCGCGCAGCTGGTGGTGGCAGGTAAAGGGGCCCAGAGAGACCAGACTTTAGCATGGCCCCTGTCACCCGCCCCAGCTCACCTATCACCTGTCACCCAAGGGCTACCCAGCTCAGCCACGCGCTTGGGGACCGGCTTGAGCCACAGGGGATGAGTCTGAGCCACAGAGGTATTGACCTTGGCTGTCACCTGTCACCAAAATCCAGGGGGGAACCGGTTCTCCAAGCAGGCCTGGGCGCACCAGGTCCTGGAGCACTCCGTCCTCCTTGTCCTGCACATCCTCCCCATCCACCACATCCTCCCCGTCTACACCTTCCTTCAGCAGCTGTGGGTCCGTGATGGCCAGCCGGGCCTGGCACCTGTGACCCAGGGTTCCACGGTCATCTGGAGTCTGTCCACAGACTGGGTGAGCAGGGGGCCTGGGTCAGCTAGGTGCTGGGGACAGGGCCCTCAGCCCGGGGCTCACCACCTTGAGGCCCAAGCCCCCAGCTCACCTACAGCTGCCTCACGGCTGGGCCCTGGGTGAGGCTTGCAGACAGTGCCCAGGAAGCCCTCCACACGCCTCCCGCCCACAGGGTCCACAGCCCGCGACCCCGCATCCCAGAGCAGTGGGAAAGCCTCCAGCCAGACGAAGGGGCCTTGCTCCGGCTGCGGGCGGTGTCTGGCTGTCTGCAGTAGCAGGCTGGCTGGAACACCGGCCTCTCCTCTTGTCAGGGTGGACGCCGTGTGGCCCGATGACAAAGGAGACGATCCAAAGCTGCTACAAGAGCTTTACCAGTAACCCTGATAACACCATCCAGCGAGCTAAGCTAACAGTGAATTGTAAGTTCTTTGTTTTCGGGCTGGGAAGGTGGCTCAGTGGTAGAGTGCTCCTTGAAGCCCTGGGTTCGATTCCTCAGCACCACATACACAGAAAAAGCTGAAGTGGTTCTGTGGTAAAGTGCTAGCCATGAAAAGGAAGCTCAGGACAGCGCTAAGGACCTGAGTTCAAGCCCCAGGATTGACAAAATATTAGAGTCGAACGCTGTCCCTGCTGCGCTCTTCAGCTGAAAGCAAGTGCCAGCACCACTTCCGATTTCTAGTGGTTCATTGGACATAAGAGTCTCCTGCCCGGGCTGGCTTTGAACCGCGATTCTCCGATTTCAGCCCCGAGTACTAGTATGACAGGACACTTCCCCCAGCGCGAGGCCCTGGGCCCGACGGAAGAACGGGCCGGCGTCCCGCGGGGGCTGTTGGGACATGTAGTCCCGGCTCCCCCACCGAATGCTGGAGCGCGGCCTGCGTCCGCGCGGGGGCTGTTGGGAAATGTAGTCCAGCCCCGGGTGCTGTACCTGGAGAGCGGAGAGGGGTCTCCGGCGAATCCCCTCCCCTGCGGCCCCTTTAACCACGCTGCGAGCCAGTCGGAGACCTTGCAGTTCACCCGACAGCACAAGGTCCGGGCTGGGGGGGACCTGCCCCCGACTCGAAGCCAGTTTTCCTTCGGCTTTGCTCAGTTCCCGTGGCAGAAGTCCGCTGGCCCTCGGTGGAGCCCGCAGCCTTGGGAGAAGCAAGCCACCTTCCTTCGGGAGGTGTGGACAGTAAATACGCCTGCCTTGCGTTGTCCTTTTGTCTCTGTGTTGCTGCAGATCCGGAGTGTACGTCATTACAGTTGTTCCAGCAATGACAGCCTTTCAGCGATGAGAGGCTTGGACTCCCTTACTCTGTCTGATTCCAAATTGTTTTGTTCACCGAGCAGAAACATTTAGGGCACTGCATCTGTGTGGAGACCCCCTTGGAGCCATGGAGGACGTGATGCTTGGGAGGCCCAGTGGAGGTGGGAAGAGGCCATGCTCTGCGGCCAGCCTCTTTATACTCCCAGCTTCGCTGTGCTTCCGTGAGACTAGAGAAGTTACTTTTTTCTTTTTTGCGCTTCCCTGACAATGTAAAATGGGGATGTCTCCCTGAAAAGGTTGTACTGGAGAAAAATGGCCTGATTTCTGAACACCATAGGATCAGCAAAGCTTTATCTAGCAAGCTGCCTACAAATCTGGGGGAAAGCTGCATCCCAGCTTACAGCTCAGGCTGTCACCCTAAAGTGGTCCAAGTCTTCACAGAGGTGAAACGCAAGCAAGGGCCAAAGGCAGCAGAGGGAGATTGGAAATCTGAGGCATTTTAGTTTTTTCTGTGGCTGCTGTAATCAATCACCACATACTTGATGGCTTAAAAAATCTATTCAAAATGAAAGTGTTGTAAATTCAAAAGCCCTGTTCTAGGGGACCATCTTTATTTTCCTTGCTGCTTCAAGCCACTGATGGCTTGAAGGTGGTAGAGTGCTAGCTTGAGCACAGACAGGCTCAGGTTCAGTGCCCAGGGCTTGAGTTCAAGTCTCAGGACTGGCAACATGCGCGCGCGCGCGCACACACACACATACACACACACACACACGAAGTGGAGGTGAGGCTCAAGTGACAGAACATCTCCTTGACGTGCTTCGGACCGCACCCCCTCTCAAAAAAATAAAGGAGGGGCTGGGAAGGTGGCTCAGTGGTGGAGCGCTTGCCTCGCATGCCTGAGGCCCTGGGTTCAATTCCTCAGCACCACATAAACAAAAAGAAAAAAGCCGGAAGTGGCGACGTGGCTCAAGGGGTAGAGCACTAGCCTTGAGCTGAAGAGCTGAGGGACAGCGCCCAGGCCCCGAGTTCAGGCCCCACGACCGGACCCCAAAAAATAATAAAGGAAAGCAGAAGCGGGGTGGGGTTCACAGGCCACCTCTGGCAGAGCCGCAGGGTGGGGGCAGTGTGCTCCTCCGGGACAAGGTTGCATCCCTCCTCCCCCTGCAGGTGTCCGTCCGTCGCGTGCGCACCAGGGCACGCGCTCCCGCCGCCTCCCCTCCCTGGCTCCCGCGAGGCCGCTATCACGACGAGCAGACTCGGGCGACCCATGGCCGGCCCTGCTGCCCTAAAGTCCCTGAGGTCTCCCCGATCCGGGGTTCGGTCCTCCCCTCCATCCCGCCCCGGGGCCGGAGGCGATGCCCCTGGCACAAGGCGGAGGACGGTGAGAAGTCATGGACGTGGCTCGGGTCCTTGGCGGCCAGCAGAGGCCGGCGGAACTGGCGTGCGCGTCAAACAACGCCACGAAGGCAGGAGCAGCGCGGAGCACTTTGGCGGCCGCGAGCGGAAACCCCAGAGTGGCGAGCCAGGCGGCCGGCGGCGGCTCGGAGCTCCGCCCCACTGCTACCCTTTCTAAACATGGCGGCATTGGCTTCGCGGCGCTTTCTGCGCATGCTCTCAGCTTGACACAAGCCAGGGTGTACTTGAGGTAGCACATCCTCCAGAGCTGCTTGTCGCCGTTCCGAGAAGTGCGCATGCGGCGAGAACGTGCGCGTCACCGTTCTCGATTTGTCCAAGAACACTTCCCGTCCTTCTGCGCGCGCGTGTGTCGCTGCCACTGACCCGGAAGTGTTCGACGCCCTTAAAGTCGTCGGCCCGCTACGCGCGACCTCTTCCTGTCTGTGCTTGGGCGGCGCGCGGACCACGCGGAGCGGACGGAAGTCTCCTGCCTAGCGATCAGGTGAGGCCGCACAGCCGTCCTGGGTCTGCGAGTTTGTCTGCATCGCTGTAGGCTGGTGCCGACCCCTCGGCTCCCGGTTGGACCTTCTATTCCCTCCGGAGGACGCGTCCTCGGGAGCGCGCGCGGGCAGGCTGCCCCGGCGTCTTGGTCCCCGCCGCCGCGGGAGTTGCTGGGCCGCCGGACCGAGCTCCGGCCTCGCCTCGCCGGGCGCCTCGCTACCCGGAGCCACGCCTCCAGCCAGGCGTTTAGCAGGCTTACCCTCTCGGACTCTCTACGAACCTAAGTCTCCCGATCGCGGCCGGCGACCTTGGAGTTTCTCACGAATGCAGGGCTGTAAAGGTCCAGTCTCACTCGTCCGTGCTGGGCGCCCTTCTTGTCGGCCACAGGTCGCCCTGCGGACTCCGAGCGACTTCCCCCAGGATATGGGGCACCGGGTTTGTCTGGACCTGGGGCTCCTGGGTAGCCGCAATGGTCCTTCTTGTCCCTGATTCTGTTCCCTAGGTAGGGAAAGTTGGTCTTGCTGTCCCTGCTAGCTCCCCAGGTCAGAAGACGATCCGCCCCAGTTTGGCGTTCGTGTTCCCGCTCTATGTGTTGGCTTTCACCATCTATTCCCACCCACAGGATGACCGAGTGGGAGGCCGCCACGCCAGCTGTAGCAGAGACCCCCGACATCAAGCTTTTTGGGAAGTGGAGCACCGACGATGTGCAGATAAACGACATTTCCCTGCAGGTGAGCCGGCCCAGTCCTGGGGCGCAGAGGACACGTAAAACCTGCATCTTTCCCAGCAAGCAGTTGGATTTGTGAGGGCTAAAGGAAAGAGGTCCAGAAAAAGCACATCGAGGCTTACCTTTTTCTTATTTTTGGTCGGTTGTGGTGCTAGAACTCTGAGCTTGGGTGTTGCTACCTTTAGTTCAAGGCAAGCGGTCTACCACTTGAGTCACAGCGCCTCTTCCGGTTTTCTAGTGGTTTATTGAAGATTGGAGATGAGTCTCACGAACTTTCCTGCCCGGGCTGGCTTTGAACCGCGATCCTCAGCTAGGAACACAGGCTTGAGCCACCGGTGTCCAGCGAGTCTTAACTTTTATAACAACAGTGTGTTTTGTGGAGTTCTTGATGTTTTTTCCCCAGAGCTAGTGGTTGAACCCAGGACTTTATACATATAATAGGTAAATGCTCAACCACTAACCAATGTTAACCTTAAGCAGCTTTTTTCCGTTGTTTTTTTTTTCCTCTAGGATTGTCATGGGTTTTACTTTTTGTGGTAAAGTACATGTAATTTGCTAATTTTAAGTATAGTATGAGTAGTTAATGGATATCCTGCACCCTGTTAAAGTGACTGTTTAAACAATTGGTCAGGAGTGTATTTTTCTGTAATACAGAGTTTTTTGGAAAGACTGAGCAAGTGTTCTCTTTTACACATAGCATTTTGGGTGTAAGATGGGACCTAGGACCTTTAGTGTGCATCCTACCTCTGAGCCATATCCATGGGCCTCATGAGTTTTGGCTATTGTCTGTTTAGAAAAAAGGTGGGTGTGGGTGTGGTTGATTGGCCAAGGGGTTTGAGCTCAGTGCCTGGCCCCTGTTTTGAGGCTCTTTTGCTCAAGGCTAACACCCTACTACTTTGAGCCATAGTGCTACTTCCACACCTGTAATACTAGCTGTTCAGGAGGCTGAGATCTGAGAGTCACCATTCAAAGCCAACCTGAGCAGATAAGACTCCAGCTAACCAGAAGTAGTGCTGCAGCTCTAAGTGGCAGAATGCTGTCCTTGCTTGAAATAGCTCAAGAACAGCTCCCAAGTTTAGTTTAAGCTCCATGACCCATCAAAAGTTAGTTTGGGGGTCTGGGAAGGTGGCTCAGTGGTAGAGTGCTTGCCTCACATGCATGAGGCCCTGGGTTCAATCCCTCAGCACCACATAAACAAAAAAAAAGCCAGAAATGGGCACTGAGGCTCAAGTGGTAGAGTGCTAACCTTGAGCTGAAGAGCTGAGGGACAGCGCCCAGTCTCAGAGTTCAATCCCCACGACCAACACAAAAGAAAAAAAAAGTTAGTTTGTGCTGGGAACGCGTCTCAATGGTAGAGTGCTTGCCTCCCATGCATGAGGCTCTGGGTTGGATTACTCTGCACCACATAAACAGAAAGTTACATACCAGGCTGGCTTTGAACCTCAATCCTTAATTTCAGCTTCCTGGGTAGTTAAGATTACAGGCAAGAGCCACCAGCCCACAACTGGAAAGCTGTAGTTTGTTACTACGATGGAAGTTGGAGGAGTAGAATGTATTGTGTGTGCCTCCCCCCCATTTCCCCTATCCCCCCAACCCTTTTTTCCTTGCCTGTCCCACATCATGTCCCTGAGCTTTTGTTTTTTTGGTCAGTGACTATTACTCTAGCCTGACACTTTCCCTCATTGACTAGTGTTTTACCATTTCACCCACACCTTTACTTCTGGCCTTTTAGTGGCTAATTGGAGATAGGAGTCTCAGGAAGGTTCCTGCACAGGCTGGCTTTGAAATTCAATCCTCAAAGTTCAGCCTCCTGAGTAGTTAGTTAGAATGACTAGCATTAGCCACCAGCTCCAGCATTCATTGCCTCTAATGTGCCTAAAAGATAACTCAAAACTTTTTCAGGCTGATCTTTACTTTCATAGGAATGTTTAGGAAGTCTGCAAACTTATTTTTGTGGTGCTACTGATACAATCCTACTGGATTTATCCACCTATCCGAAGTTCCTTAAATGACCAGATACTAAACATTTTAGGGTAGGCGAAGTCTTCTGCCCTTCATGGCTTCCAACTAAAATTTGCAGGTCTTGAACTCTGAGCCTGCCTACTGTTACTGAGCTCTTCAGCTCAACACTAGTGTTAGTCTACCCCTTGAGCTACAGCGCCACTCTAGTTTTCTGGTGGTTAATTGGAGATAGGAATCTCACAGATTTTCCTGCCAGCCCTGGCTTTGAACCATGAATCTCAGTTCTCAGTCTTCTAAGTAGCTAGGATTACAGGTGTGAGCTATCAGCCAGGGCCTGGCTCAACTATTTTATAATGCAAAGATTAGTTTGATACATTGTGATCTTCAATGGGTTTTATCTCCCTCCACCGCCCGTAGTTGTTTTTTCCTTTTTTGTCCTGGGGCTTGAACTCTGGGCCTGGGCACTTTCCCTGAGCACTTTATCCCGCTTGAGCCACAGCACCACTTCCGGTTTTCTAGTGGTTTATTGGAGATAAAGAGTCTTACCGAGTTTCCTGGGCGTGCTTTGAACTTCAGTCTTCACATCTCAGCTTCCTGAGTAGCTAGGGTTACAGACATGAGCCACTAGCGTCCTGCTAGTGGGTTTTATTTTGTTCATATGTGTATGAAATGCTTCTACCTTTGCAATCTCCCCATCTAGGCTTTTTTCTTTTTTTTCTTTTTGGCAGTCATGGGGCTTGAACTGGGCCTGGGTGCTGTCCTTGAGCTCTTCAGCTCAAGGTGAGGTCTCCACCAGTTGAGCTCAGTGCCACTTCCAGATGTATGGTGGCTAATTGGAGATTAGAGTCTCATGGACTTTCCTGCCTGGGCTGGCTTTGAACCACAATCTTCAGATCTCAGCCTCCTGAATAGGATTATTACAGGTGTGAGCTACCCACCCCTGGCTGGAGTTAAGTCTTGTAGACTGTCCTGCCTGAACTGGCTTTGAGCTAGAATCCTCAGCCTCCTGGGTAGTTAGAATTACAAGCATCAGCCATGGGCATAAACCTACACATTTTCTTTGTGGCTTTGATTCTCTGCCCTGGGTTGGTTGTTTCCCTCTAAAGGATGCTGAGCAGTATGTAGATAGTTGTCAGAACTTAAAGTTGCTGCTGGCATGCTGGGTACTGCTATGTAACCTATAGTGCCCATGGTATATTTAGGGGTCAGTTGTTTAAAAAAATGATCTATGATCACATTCTTCCACGATAAAGGCAGTTTTCTTGAGGGATTCTGCATACACTTCCTGGGAAGGCAACTGAGATTGCAAGTAATTCCACTGATACCCTGAGTAGATTTCCAGTCTTTTCTCTGGTCTCTGGCTGGTGCCTATCCTGCTTCTAACAGCCCTTTCATAGACCTTCCCCAAATCCTTTCCAGGATTACATTGCAGTGAAAGAGAAGTATGCCAAGTACCTGCCCCACAGCGCAGGACGGTATGCTGCCAAGCGCTTCCGCAAGGCACAGTGCCCCATTGTGGAGCGTCTCACGAACTCCATGATGATGCATGGTCGCAACAACGGCAAGAAGCTCATGACTGTGCGCATCGTCAAGCACGCATTTGAGATCATCCACCTGCTCACTGGTGAGGTAGGATTGTGTGGCAGGCTAGACAGGCTTCCCTTGGGCACATGCCAAAGCCAGGCTATGGACCTGAGTTGAGAAAGGGAGGGACATGTGTCAGATGTCAGGCTCAACGCCCTCTTCTTCCAGAACCCTCTGCAGGTTCTGGTAAACGCCATCATCAACAGCGGGCCCCGGGAGGACTCCACTCGGATTGGGCGAGCTGGAACAGTGAGAAGGCAGGCTGTGGATGTGTCCCCACTGCGCCGGGTGAATCAGGTAGGTCTGGAGCTTGTGTGGGTGGCAGGGCAGGAACTGCCACCATGAGTGGGTGGGAAGGCTTGTCCCTGTCTGCATGCTTTACCTAGAGCCTCACTTCCCTTTAGGAAACTTCCTGAATTCCTACCTTGTTCAGGGTGGATCCTGGCTCTTAGCCATCTGTTTTCAGATTGTTGGTAGTGTACATTGTTAACACTAGTTTTCTTTTTTGTTTTTTTGGGGGGGTCCGGTCGTGGGGCCTGAACTCTGGGCTTGGGTGCTGTCCCTTAGCTCTTCAGCTCAAGGCTAGTGCTCTACCACTTGAGCCACAGCACCACTTCCGGCTTTTTTCTTTTTGCTTATGTGGTGCTAAGGAATCGAACCCAGGGCCTCATGCATGCAAGGCAAGTGCTCTACCACTGAGCCACCTTCCCAGCCCAACACTAGTTTTCTTAGACCACTTAAGAGTTGGTTGGATTGATAGTGCCTACATACCTTTAGTCCCTGCTACTTCAAGACAGGACAGGAGGATCATATAAGCCAGGAGATATGATACCCACATGAAGAAATTTGTAATTGTGGTAGAGAATCAGATTGGTTGGCATGACTGTCCTTCAGGTCAGTGACATATCTATGATATGTGGCACATCTTGAATCTCCTGCCATGGGGAGCCCTTGTCTAGCTTGTCTGAATAGCCTTTCTAATCCATACCTAGTGTGCCAATGCCCCCCCCCCCATCTTGATGGTTGGTCACATTACATGGTAAGTTTTTGAGATTGGGCCTAGATCACTGGAGGATTTATCACTATCCTGCTAGATTAACCTGGCCCCCTGCCCTGTGCTCTCTGTAGGCCATCTGGCTGCTTTGCACCGGTGCCCGTGAGGCTGCCTTCCGCAACATCAAGACCATCGCTGAGTGCCTTGCGGATGAGCTTATCAATGCTGCCAAGGTGAATGGAGATCCAGAATTTACCTTAGGTGTCAAGGTGGGCGTGGGAAACTTTCCAACGTAGAGCTAATCAATCTCTTTTTTTAGGGCTCTTCCAACTCCTATGCCATCAAGAAGAAGGATGAGCTGGAGCGTGTGGCCAAGTCAAATCGCTGATTTCTCGGTTGCTGCCCAATAAAGTGCCCTTTGGGGAATTTCACTTGCCTGTGTCTTTGGCTGTTTTTAAGGGAGTAGAATATCATCTCCCTGTGGCTGTTGTCAGTACTCCTTTTCCTGGCATGGCTATTAGGTTCATCTGAAAAATACTGTTGACTCAAAAATATACCACCTCAGGGCTAGCCAGTTTATAGGCTCAGCCATGTATAATATCCCAGCATTACTGGAAATGAGAAGAATTGGGCCTGTTTGGGAAAGGACCTGGTTGGATCACATTAGGTAGAAAGAAACCTGTGGCTGTAGCCCAACTTTGTGTCCCTTCTGTGTAGCAGCTGATTTCCATTGTTGTGTGAATGAAACCTTTCTGTGCAGGCTAGGCTGGTACACCCTTGCACCAACCAGTAGCATGATTTTGTTTTTTTGGTCGGTGATGGGTCTTGAATGCTGGGCCTGGGTGTTATCCCTGAGCTTTTTTCCCTTTTGTGACCTTCACAGGTTTTCTTGTTCGTTCGTGTGTGTGTGTGTATCACTGCTACCTAGTCATCCTTCCCGTCTTGGCTGAGGTGTGGGTCCTGAGCCCTGGATCAGCCTGTGCGCTGTTCCTGGGCTTTTTTGGGGGGGAGGTCCGGTCATGGGGCCTGGCCACTGTCCCTCAGCTCTTCAAGGCTAGCGCTCTACTACTTGAGCCACAGCGCCACTTCCGGCTTTTTTTCTTTTTGCTTATGTGGTGGTGAGGAATCGAACCCAGGGCCTCATGCATGCAAGGCAAGCGCTCTACCACTGAGCCACCTTCCCAGCCCTTCTGGTGGTTTCTTAAGTTTTTCAATGCAGGCCCAGGATTGGCGTGGACTATGGGCCTGGCACTGTTGTGTTCAGGCCGGTTGGTTCCCTCCTGTGCCGGAGCACTCCATCCACCCCCAGGATCCATTCCGGGTCTGGTTTGGGGTTCAACACCCCAGGATGGGCGGCAGGCGGGGCGGGCCACGGGACAGGTTGGGCTCGTTGTGCGGGGCAGGATGGGCGGCCTGGGCAGGGCTCCCTCCTCCAACAGGCAGCTCTTTCCTGCCCAGAGGTAGGCCGAGAAGGCGGAGACCGGCGGTGTCTCCAGGTGCAAGAGCCCTGCTTGGGCTGCGGGCCGTGCCGGTTCGGGCTACGCTCCACCAGCTCCAGCTCCAGCTCCTCGTGCTCAGCGGCGGCGCCGCTCTTGCCTGGTTCTCATCTCCGGCTCAGGACCGCAGTGCACACCACCCTTTCCTGCTCGGCGTCGACCCCCGAGTCCGGATGCCGTGCCCGCGGCCGCCCTGGCTCCGCCGGGCCCGGGCCGCGCCCAGCCCGGGCAGCGGTGAGGACGCAGACGACGAGGAGGAGGAGGAGGCTGACGGTGGCCCGGGCTCGGGGCGCATGCTGTCCCCCGCCTCGCCCTCCGAGTGCCTCATCTGCGTTTCGCCCTTCGACGGCGTCTTCAAGCTGCCCAAGCGCCTGGACTGCGGACACGTCTTCTGCCTCGAGTGCCTGGCGCGTCTGTCGCTGGCCACTGCGGGCGGCGGCGCGGCGGTGGCCTGCCCGGTG